GGATGTCTCACTGTGGTTAAGGTGTTTGGTGTAGTATTGAAGTATGTATTCCAATGCTTCATCCTATATACCAAATGGAAGTGATTTTCTCTGCTGCTTTGGAGTTGTAGCAGAAATCTATGCAAGAAAAAACATGTCCAGGTCTTCAGCTGAAGAGAATCTCTGAACTTTCAGTATGGGTATAATTATTGATTTTTGCTTTGATTTGAACATTCAGGAAGTCTAAAGGCAGTAGCTCCTGTAGACATGGCTAGAGGTGGCAAAGGTGTAAGTAAGTATCAAGGTGCTGGTATCTTGCCTTGACCAATTGGCATGGATTTTTCTGTCTAGGTTGGGTAGGGAATGTTTAGGTGAAAGGTCAGCCCTTACTTCGTGGGTTACTGCTCAAGGAAAAGCTACTGTGTTATGTACCTGCACTTTGCTGTCAAGAAAATGGAAAGCAGTAACTCTGGCCTGAAATGAGGGGTGGTTGGGCAGGAGGAGAGCAATGGATTAGCTGGAGAGCAGTGGACTTCAGCCAAAAGAAGCAACCATTTTCAGCCTCTCATGCTGAATCAGATCAAAAATGAAGAGCAATCAAACCAAAAAGAGGGATATATTGGATGAGTTTCTTCAAAAAAAAGAACAGGATCTGATCTTCAACCAGAGTCTCACCACACTGCTGCCAGTGCATACTTTTTCCTCCTCAGTATGAAAACTTGTATCCCAATAGAAGGAATGAATTATGTATGTCAGCTTTAAGCAACGCTGTATTAGGGAATTTTATTCTTTGTACTTTAGACCAGTGTAATGAAAAGTTAAATATTAATATGTCCTCAGAACTTTTCTCAAATATTTGTAATATGAGATTTAATTTAAGAGGCAGTGAACAGAGGTAAATTTTTTACATTTGGCTTTTGTTATCATGCCAGTAATTAGAATAGCCCAAGCAATGTAAATTAAATGTTACCAAGTAGGGAGGCAATTGCTAGATAGCAGCTGGGGACCTTTTTAAAATACAGAAGTCTTGAAACTGGAGCCTCAGACATCTGTGAGATGGTAGAGTGGAAGTGATAGAGATGGCTGCTGAATGCATGCACCCATGCTTGAAATGCCACTTGTTTGTCTCTCCCAGTGCTGAGGAAGAAGTGGCACTTATTTTGTGTGTCTCTTCCAGCAGAGTCTCCTCTGGGACTTAATCCCACACAGACCTGTGAGAAGTTGTTTGATTTGCCCTTCTGACACTTTGTGAGAAGGTCACCTTTATGGCTTTCAGTCTCCAAAAACCTTGGTTCCCGTGATTTCTGCCCTTCCCCGTTTCCCTTTCTCTAGGTAGTCCCAGTGTTCACATACATTTTAGGCCAGTAATCTCCCAGTAGAAGTGCTACCATGTCCCTTGACTCAGTTTTTTGTAGCTCCTGATAGGGAGAGGTAGAAATTGTATTGATGTGGCTTATATTCAGTATTCTCTCCAGAGGTCTCTCATCCTGGGATAAGGTCTTAGAAGGTTACCAAGTGCATTGGAAATGCCTTCTGCCAAGGAGAGGTGTCAGATTAAGCCTGGCTCACATGTTTCCATGTGAATGATGATCAATGTTCTTGTGCTCAGTGCACTGTAATTCTCAGGTCGAATTCGTGCTCTTGGTGCTGGTGGGTCTAAATGGAGTTTTCTGGAAGTTGAAACTGCACAGATGATTTCATTCTGAGATGATTTAAAGCCTACACACTCCTCTCTATGTATGCATACACAGCTGATTGTTGTGTTGATAAGTAGGGCTGTTTATCTTCCTCTTTTGAGAAATTGAAATTTGGTGCCTAGATAGCATCCTCTACAGACTTCTTATTAGATTCATAGCTAGTGGTTCCACACTTTTGCAAGATGGGCCAAGACTGTATTTTTGACAAATCATTCCCCACGTGGGCATGGAACAAAGGTCTTGTTTTTACAGCTCTTGTATTAAAAAACTCACAGTTCATCCAGTTGCTCACACTCCTGGCTAAATTCAGGGGACTCATGTTCTTGCTGCACTTGTAGTATTAGCACTACTCTTGAATCATTAAAGGCACTGAATGCTGCTGATCTGAAAGGTCTTTTACAACCTAGACAATTCTAAATTTCTTTGTCAGCTGCTTCACACTCTTTGTGTGTTGAATGATTCTTGAAGCCATGCATATGCACTACTTATCATTAGATTATAATTAACTGTAATTATGTATGGAGATCAGTCCAAGCCCTAAAATGTAGATTTAGATATTTACTATGCTAATCAGAAGATTTGGTGAGGATAAAGGGCTTGATTTTTTAATTTTCACTTCCACAACGGTGTGACGGATCCTTAGCAAAAGTGTTGTTAAAATTAGTAGAGCTGTAGTTACCCTCCATACCACAGTTTTGCATACTGCAGATTGCTAGAGGTGAGGTTCAGGCCCAAGAGGTTTTGTCATTGGCATAATGAAGCACTGCCTCAGAGAAGCTGAGACTGTAGAAAACAGGGTGCAGGGGCCCTGAGAGGTGAATTTGCCCATAGACACACCAGAAAGTGTTTTGAACTGTATAAAAACATGCCTGATAGCTATTCACGTAAGGATGGTTGTGCAGGTGGGATTTCTGCTGAGGAAAGGGGAGTATTCACCTTTATATTGATGCTGCAGTTAAAACCCAGGCACAAGTACTTCCCAGGTGTGCACAGATGTGCTGTGTACAGTTGTATCAGGGAGTACTGTTCCTGACATCAATAAACAGGGAACCAAGTGCAGTGTTGCTGTGCTAACCCCACAGTCTGATTCTAAAGGCTTCACTGAAAAAACCAAACCAATTAAGTAATACTGGAAATTATAAAATAGGTAGAAACACCTCTATGATTAAAGCCCTACATTAGTGTTTAGCTTTTGCTGGAGAGATAGCTTTTTTTATTGTCTATTTACATCTGGAAACAAATCTTTCATGTTGTGTAAATAATTTAATCTTTATTGCTGTTGCTGCTGCATATAAAGTGTTGATACCTGCTGGCTAAGTGAAGCAGGAAGGGATGGATACATTTATGCACAGTACTATTTACTGTATTTAATGGAAGTGAAAAGTGAAATAACAAGTTAGGGAACACCATACTAGAATTGTTATTCTTCTTCATTTTAGAACAAAGCATCAGTGTTGCAGGACCTTAGTTAATCAGTCTAATGAGCTGGATACACTGAAATGTTCCCCTCTCTCTTTCCCCCTGCTGTGGTGTTTTAATGTGCTTTGCCCTTGAGTAGAAGGCTTCTTTTTAGAAAGGTTTCTTCATTGAGGAAGGGGCTACAAAATAATTTGGAAACTTTCTCTGGACAAGAGTTCTGGTACAAGAGCTTGGAGGGGGATGAGGTGGACAGGAGCTCTGTAGTTAGGATGGCTGCTGTATGTCTCACATCCTCACTTCAATATTTTCTTCCTAAAACCACTTCCAGGCTCTGGAAAATTACTGTAAAATATTTTTAAAGTTTTAACTTTTTAAAACACATGTAATCTTTTAAAAGGGCACATGAGCTCAGAAACAGAGGAATCACAATACTTGTCTGCGTGACTAAAAATGCTCAGAATTTAATCAGGTGTTAAAATGTGTCAAAATTATTGCCTCTACTAACATTGGTGTCTTAATTGTGAAGAAAATTGAAGCCAGTTTGTTTACTCAGTATGTCTGCCTCCTGCCACAAGACCCGAGGAATCTGTTGCTTGGGGAAAAAGCAAGCCAGCATGTTATTAGATAATTACCTCCTATTGAAAAATAGATAGGAAGTGAGTGAAGAAATCAATTATGTTTCCAGATTGGACAGTACACAGTTTTCTGTGGTTTATATTTCTTGATGTATCAATTATGATTGTATATTGGGCCTCAGTGTTAAAACATTACTGGACTGTGTTCTCTGACTTGGCTTGAAGCCCACAATATCATGTCTGCAAGTGGTGCAGCTCATTGTTATAGGACGCTTCAGCAGTTTCTGGTTACAAAACGTGGCAAGAAGTGGTAAAAGCATGCCTGACTCAGCTTAACATGATGCTCCCAGCAGGAACATCTCTTTTTCCCGTTTTTTTTGGTTTTGTCTTAATCAAAAGTTGATGAGACAATCTTCCCCCACTGCGGTGCCCAATGTGGGTGTCTGACAGCCTGATGCTCCTTCCGGAGTTCCCAGGGTGAGCTGGGGACAGAAGAGTGTTGGCAGAGGATGACATGGGCCATGTGAGATTAGAAGCACAGCAAGCTCTTGTTTTCCTCCTGAGTATAGAAGGTGGTTGGAGCTGAATGTCTTCTTACAGACTTTCATGGCCACAAAGCTCTGACTTGAGGCTCATGGTCTCCATCCCTGATGGGGCTCAGGTCAACAAAGAAAAATTTGTCATCCAAAATGCTCCTTGATCAGAACTTTGACAAAGCCTTTGGTTTGCAAACCAGCTAGTCTTTGCTAGTATAACACAGTGCATGTTGTTCTGTGGATCAGTCAATTTCCACTTGAAATGTGTAGAGCAAAATTGTGGCAAGAAGGGCGGCAGTGTTTGATTGTATGTGTGTTGTGTACTGATGAGTATCTGTTCTGGGAGAAACAGAAGAGTTAAGCCAAAAGCTTTAAAATCATGCATTTTAATATGAGGCTCCTACATATGTCTGTATTTAGGCTGAGAGAGGCTCAAGCATTGCCCCTCAGAGGTGCTGGTTGTAGGAATCCATCTCACTCCTTCCTGATGATCAGAGAGGTATCTGGCACTGCTGAAAATTTTGTTGCTTTGGTCCATGCTTGAATTTTTGTGCACCCAAACTGAGAGTTGTTGCCTAACAACTTCTATAAGAGAGCTTTTATTTTCAGTAACTTCCACCATAGATAGATTTAGCTCTTGGACAATTGCTAGGGAAAGGAAAATCAGGAGTTAAGTGACAACACTGTCTAGAATCCTATGATCTGTCAGAAAATCTTTTCTTGCTGTAGGTATTGCAATTGCTTTCTGCTAACCAGTGTTGCTAACCTGTACTAATTTCAATTTCCCCTTGCAGTAATGCGTAGAAATCCATTTGGGATGGACATTTGCTGTCGGAAAGGATCCAGAAGCCCACTCCAGGAACTGTATAATCCCACCCAGGTGAGTATTTTGTTGCTATAATTAAGTTTCCCAATCCAGCATACAAACACAGTCTCTTTTGATGATATTTTAGTCTGTTTTTCTTATTTACGTGCAACAGCTTCCTTCATTTGGGAGAACTGGTCCTGGAACCTGCAGGGTTTAGCTATAACAATCTGAAGTTTGAGTTAAAAGCCTGATTTTTAAACAGTTTTAGTCGTCTTAATGATGTGGACTTGTCAAAAATCTTTTCTTAGGAACCCAAAAGCCCTAGAAGAGTATACTTTTTAGATCTATCTAGAAGCCAAGGCATTGTGTTGATACAGACTGGCAGGGTGGGGTGACAGAATGTGGCATGATCTACATGAGACAAGGAGTGCAGTAAGACTGTAAATTGCAGTAATGCTACATGAGTATCATTTATATGGCTTTCAGATAGCCAGCTGCCTTTCCTGTCCTGGTCCATTGCTTGTATGAAGTCTAGACAAACGCTGTAGCTCATGTTCTTCCATATACTGTGTGCTATTCAACACCTGACTGTCTTGGTAGGAGATCAGGACCTCAGGTTATTGCTCTTCTTGTGACAAGCAGCATAGGAAAACTACCTGAAATTCATGCTCTTGTTTGCTCCTCTAGATCAATTTATTCCCTACATGTGGGCTGAATTGGCACATTCAGGAGAAGCATTTCCTGTTGGCAGCTGAGAGGAAGTGCTGCCATTGAGAGAAAATGCCAGCTGACTATTAAACATATTTATTAAAGTTTAACAACCGCCTATTATATATTTATCCATCAATGAGTACATTGAGTTTTACTAAATTGGCTATTAGGGAAAGTGACTATCCCAGTAAATCTAACTTGTTAGATTTAACAAGGCAGTAAATGTTTTAAATACTATTTGATTATGAAGAGACTCACTATATAGTGTGCAAAACGAAGTCTGAGGGATTTAAAGTATTTACATAAAGAACTGACAGCAACCCAAAGATATGTGATATCTGTTACTTAGCACAGTAAAGCTCCATTTGCTCGTTAGTGTTGTTTTTATGAACACAGGCTGACTTTCTAATTCAATTAGAATTCTAGGCATGGCTGGGAACATAAGTTTGTCATACTATTATCCTGCCCTTTATTGACCATTATGGGAGTCAGCATTTCATAAATGGAAAGTGCATGCAGAAACCCTGAAGAGGAACAATCCAGTGCTGCAAAGGAAAACTATTATCATTTGCAGGTCAAATGTAAAGACTCTTTGCAGATGTTCAATAGGAGAGGGTAAAGGAGAAGAGACTGGCTGAGTAATTAGTCTCTCTGGGGTCTGGTGTGTGTCAGGCAAAACCTTTTGCCCTTTAGCATTATTAAAGGCCAAGCTGTAGGAAAGAAACATTTCTGTCCACGGAAGGGCCATAATCCCAGAGCCCTTGCAAACTTGGAAAACTGAAAAGATTTCCTGAGCTTTCTGAATGAAGCAGGGGACATAGCTGGCAGCTCCTTCTTTTCTGTGTACCTTGACCAAGTGAACCATTAGCATCCCTTTCCGGGCTCACCTGTGAGCCAGACAGAAAGTCAATGTTTGAGGAAGTGCAGCAGTTCTGGCAGCTGATGTTGAACTAAAGAGATGGCGTTTCTCATGCAGAAGTGTTTCCATCAGCTTGCTGAATACCCATTTTTATGAAGCTTTTAATTTTTGTTTCTTTCTTTGTTTTTAGTTGGTGCTTGATTTTTTTTGAAAGGGGCTTTGCATGCTGCCCTCAGTACTAGAGAGACAGACAAACAAGCATATGCAATCTGGGAAAACAGAAGAAAAGGCAGTGAGTAGAGGCTGCCAGAGAAAACAACAGTCTGGAGATGACACCTAGAATGCTTCATGAGATACATGGTTCATCTTTTTTTTTTTCCATTTGTGCCCAAAGACATGTCTGTCTCACCTTTCTTAAGGTGGTAGGTTAGAGACTGGCGTGTATTTTGGCAGGAGGGTGCTCATTCCTCAAAAGTTCACCTGCTCTTGGAAGGGTTGGGGATATGGAGATCGGATCTCTCGTGTTTCCGTGCTGAAGCAGTTGCAATCAGCCATTTGTAAAGTCAGCCCAAAAGTCAATATGTAATAAATGTGCAAAAAGACAAGGCCAGGCTGGATGGAAGCTCTTGTGGAAGTGCTCATGAGTGCCCTGCTCATGGCAGCTGGAACAAGATGATCTTTGAGGTTCCTTCCAGCCCAAACCATTCTTTGGTTCTACGAAGACATTTTTGGCCAAAATCTCATCTCTTACTGATCTAGGTAATGGAAAAAGTCAGATCTTTAATCTCTGACTATCAGAAGCTGTTGGACTCCTGATGTGAATCCATGTTTCTCTGCTGGGTGCCAGTAGCTGTGTGTGCCATCACAGAAACTCTCTGGCACTCAGTTTAGCTCCCTCAGAACATCAGCAGAGCTGATGGAGCAGATATTTGTAGTTCAAAATAGTATGTGTAATTTAAACACCAAACCTAGGCCACTGAAGGATGCCCTGAAGCTATGGGTTTGGATTAGTACAAGCTAGGTACAGCTGTGATTTTATAAGGGTAGGAAACTTTAAATTTGAGATGTATTAAGGGCCCATTCTGCCTTGCATTCTGTGTGCTCTTGGCTGTTCCCTGCCTGGGGAGGTGAGAGTTTGGCCATCAATTGAAGTAGGTGTCAGATAGGGTCAATACTCACTGGGTTTTTGGATGCTGTAATTTAACATGAATCAGGTTTTTCTACTCTGTGTTTAATATCAGGTTGCACTGCCCTCATAAAACCAGATGGAGATAGGTTGATTTACACCAGCTGAGAATTTGACTCTGGTTATTTACTATGTTGACATGTAACAGCCTCTCTGATCCTGCCCTGTTGTTTCCTTCCATGGAGTTGAGCTGTTTGCAGATTCCATCATTTGTCTCTTGAATCTTTTTTTGGCCTGGTGAATGATTGTGGAAAGGAAAGAGAAAGGAAAGGGAAAAAGAAGAGAGGGGAAAAAATAAAAATAGTAAAAAAAAAGACAGAAGGAAAGATTTGGCTTCAGGAAATTCAAATGTAGCAATGATCTGAAGGTGACTGAATGGGTCCTTTGGTGGTTTGTAGGAGCTGAATGTTAGGATTGCAGTCAGATTTTCAGTGGGCTAATCATAATTTTTCCTAGGTTTAGTGGAGAAAGAGAGGACAAATGGGTAGAGATAGAACTTGAATTAGGACTTGAGGAAGCATCCATGACAAAGTCCATGTGGTATTTATGCCTTAGTTGGGTGTCTGGCCTTGTGATTATTGCAAAAGTAAGAACAACAGGTTTGCTCTTTTGCCTGTGGTAATAAAGCAGAAAATGGGAAGTGCATTTGTCTGTGGACAAAAGATTTCTTCTCTAGGGCTTTCACTGCAAGATTTTTCGTGAGGACTAATATACCATGAGGGAAAGAAAAGTCAATATAACCGAACTGGTTTTACACTGAGTAAGTGGATTTCCAGGCTGTGGTCTCCCCATACACAGCAGGCAATGTGCAGCATGTCTCAGACCCTGTGATCTGTTGTTTTGTCTTTCATTTTTAGCTAGAGGTTTAGTACTAAGCTGCAGAGATACCAGTGGCAAATTTTGAGGGCTGAAATTGATTGTTTATTTAATGAGTTTATTAAAAAGCCACATAATTATAAATGGAAAGAGAAAGAGGATTCAAACACACAACAAATAGCAAATGAGAGAATGTAGATGTAACTGAGCACAAATGAAGGGCCCTGCAGGAATGTGACACAAACTCGCATTTTATCTTGGGTAGACTTTGTGGTGTTTTTTTACATATGAAACCCCAGGAATTTAAGAATGTGGGTAAACAAATGCTTGCAATACATATTCTTAGAAGACAACATAAAAAACTGCGTCTTGTAATTTACATGGCTGTGTACAGCCCCACTGCTCCAAGAATAACAGATAATTGTGGGTCAGCCCATGAGCTGGAGTCACCAGGAGTTCAGAATTGGGTAACATTGCTCACACTTCCGTGGTTAACACTGATCTACGTGGTACAGTGAATGTGCTACTGAATTACAAGAAGTTTCAAACCAAAATAGACCGAATGTTAGAGGAATGGGAAATAATTGCATCTCTAAGGTCAAATTTTTTGCTTCTAGTTGTCAAGATTAACATTTAATTCTCATTAAATGCAAGTAGCACCACTGCTTAGTCTAACTGTCTAGACTTCTGAGAGGAACACAGAAGAGATAAAGTTCTGTATCTATCAGGATGCAAATCCAAAGATGTCTTTGTTTTTTGGGTTTGTCTTTGTTGCTAGTTTGACATTGCCTAACTTTAGTTCATGAATCAGCCCGACTGTTTTGCTAAATGTTGTGCTGTTTGCCATGCTACTTGCCTTTGCAAACATTTATTTTTGTTGAGGAGAGATATTTCTATGTGTCTGCTTTTGGTGCAGCAGGTCTAGTGATTAGCTAAAACTGGAGAGTCAGAGCTGTAGACCATGTGTTTGCTGCTTTTGTGTTATGGAATTGCATTGGACTGGTTTGGTGCAGTCATTCCAAAATGACCTATTTCTTTCATAACTTCTGTTTTTTTACCTACCTCTCCTTCCCACCAGGAGAAGGGAAGTAAGTGAACTGATGCCTTGCAGACTTTTTATACATCCTCAGTTCCTCAGTTCCACAGATGCTGCTTTTTTTGGGAGCTGTCCTGTGGCTTAGACTGCCTTGATAGCACCAGGAAGTATGAACTTAGTTCAGCCCACATCACTCACCTGGGTTGTAGTTTCCCATCTTCAGTTGATTTTCACTCCCTAGGATGTCTCTGTGGGCAGCTGTACCCATTCCTGGACAGAGGTTTGTGGTCTGAGCTCGGTGTACACATCATCCACAGCATTTTGTATCAAAGGTTCCGATGCTTAGGAGCTGGTATTTCTGTCCTTGGTGAGCCTGAGGCGCTGAGCACCGTGTGCTTTGTTTCAGTGTGCTTTGGCATCTCATTCTCAGAACCACAACAACCAAAGAGCAGGTCAGTGAGTAGGATGAGAGGTCCAGTTCACCTGATGGTTCATCTTCAGCAGCAAGTGACCAGACTATAAGTGATAAAAAACTCATTATACTCTTCCAGAGCACAACCTGGGGGTCATGAGCATCCTGAGACTGACTTGTGTTTTTGTCAGCTATATAATGCAAGAAAAGCCTGAGATGACTGACAATTACTATATCAGTCAGAAAGGGGAGAAAAAAAAGTAGATCTCCAGAGTTACTTGCCAATTCCAGTAAGACAAGAAAATTACAGAAGCGCTGTATGCCAGTGCTACCCATTATTTTTTCTCCAGTTTTCACATAGATATGTTCTGTGTTTCAGATTTCTTCCTTGAGACAGGCATATAGCTGTCCTGGGAAGTGAACTTTTGAATATGAGAAATAGTGCAGTTTATCTAAAGAACAGTATGTTAGAAGTTATTGATGCTTTGCAACCGAGTCATAAATATGTATGTGTCCTTAGTGAGGGCATGAAGTGCCCCCAAAGTTCTACCAGTACTGAAAACATATGTTGTGTGATTGATGCTAATCTTTGTAGGCAAATCTGTGCAGATGATAACAGCATGGTAGGTACGGCTCATAATCACAGTATTTGATTGATCCTAGATTAAAAACTCCTGAATGGGAAAGGTACAGAATGGAGACATAAGGAAGAACAGTTGATATGCAGTGCCAAACTTTAGGAACCTACTCCTGTTGGTAAACAACAACTTCATATGTAATTAGCTTCGTTTGCTGCAGCAAAATGCCTGCTGATGAAAGAGGAGATAATTGATTTACTCCGTGGATGACTTCTTATGCAGAGACATTACTTACTGTCGTGCTTGAAGTCATAAAACAGCAGCTGGCCTGGGATGAAATATTACATTAACCTTAGCAGAAAAATTGCACTAGTGAGAATGCTTTGTTATTAATTACTGATTACAAATGATAAGAGCTGGTTTTAGATGCTGAGGAAATGACTTGGGGAGGGGAAGGTTTCAGGTATGGTGTGCTTCATAGATCATTCATTGTGACATGATGGATACCTTTGTAAGTCAAGAGGAATTAATCAGACAAGTATGTACAGTAACTATGAGCACTCAAGGATAGAATTATCCCCAGGACATGCTCATTCAAGTTCCTGCAGTACACTGGGATGAATTTTTGGGCACCTGTGTTTAATGAAAGACTTGTTACCTGCATGAAGTGAATGAAAATAGTCTCACTCAAAGTAGCTGAGATTTCCCAGACAAAAAAAGAAGCAGCACCTCTTCTTAATTTCTCCTGTCCTTGATTTGTGTTTTATTATTTTGAGAATGTATGAATTTTACTATAAAAGACTTCTGGAGGCATAAAAGTATGAGAGGAAAGGTTTAATAATACAAGAGACATGGCCAAAACTAAAAAGGTTTTATGTGGTGGAGGTGAAAGAGGATAACACAGCTTTCAAAACTATCTGTATGCAGTGTGTGGGCTTTCTGTTAGACAAGCACTTGGACAGCTGGGTGGAGAGAAGACCTAGACTCCAGCACTCTGACCTGGTGCCATTCAGTATCTTTTTGTGTTTAATTGTCACCAAATCAGGCCTCTAGAGACCAGAACCATGTTGGTTCAGTCAAATGCTTGCTCTGAACTCAGTAATATTTAGATGGGACACCGCACCTGCCACTTTCTCTGCATTAAATTCCTCATTTTTCCTCCCCATTCTTAAGTTCTGGACCAGAAAAGCTTTGTAATCATATTTCAGAATGCAGGGGGATATGGCAGTTTGGAGGAAACAAAGGGCAGTGGGAGGATGTCAGTGTTTGCAAGTAGCTGTAATGAGCACAGATTTCTGCCCCTGGTCCCTGCAGAGCAGAGTGTCTCTTTTCTGTCTGTGCTCCAAACTTCAGAAACCATCCAAGTGCTCCAGCATCACTGCCTAAGTTGGTGTATCCCAGTTTTTCAGCCTAGACATTGTAAACTGTACCCCCCTCTTGCTTGTCTCTAGTGCTGGTAGTTTTGGGGCAGCTTTCTCCATTGTGTGAAGGAAAGCAGCTGTATTTGGTTAAACACCTGCCTTCTTTTCCCTGTGTTGGGTTTTGTGTTTTTTTTAGTTGAAGAGGTTTCTTAACTGCAGCAGAGTTGTTGCCCACTTGTGACAGGGCCAGATGATCTCTCTAAATCCTGAGAGCCCAGCTGTAACCTCTCTCTCCTCTGAGGGACCTTAATGTATCTCAACAGATGTAACTGTGAAAATCAGGGAATACAGACATACAGTCTGTCTGATACTTGTAATTATTATTTACCTTAATTTTAAGGTGGAACAGAAGAAGTTGGTAAATTTGCAATTAGTTTCAAGGATTAGATTCCTCAAGTTGCATTTTTGCAGACTTAGCTGTATGTGATGCAGAACCTCAAGTTCTGTGAAATGGCCTGTAATATCCATTAATATTGTATGTAATGTCAATATGTAATAATCATTCACTTTTTCACTTTGTACAATATAAATTAACCTAAAATAATGTAATGGGCTGCACCTTACCAAAGCTTTCTTCAGTAAAAGTACAGTAATCTTCTTGTCTCTTTATGCAGTGGAATAATTCAGGAATGTTTCTCTGTGAATGCCAAGGATGCAGCAAGATTAACATACTGCCTTTTGAAAGATGTGGTTGCAGGAGCCAGTGTGCCTTTTGGGATTCCTGCACTAAGGAAATTCATGGTACTATGGGGAGACAGGCTGTAGAGTTTTTTTTACAAGTACATAAATCATCCAATCGAGCACAGATTATTTAAGAATGCTTTCTAAGGAAGTTTTTTTTTTAGCTGAAGTTTGTGGGGAAGTGGAAGGTGGGTCAAGCCAGGTGCTGTAGTCCAATGCCTTCCCTTGCAGTGAGTCTGCTCTTCATGGTTATGGACAGAGCTGAGCAGAAGGCTCAGCTGGAAAATACAGAGTTTGTGGGTGGCAGTTGCGAGTTTGGGCGTCGTTCTCCCAGTTGTAGTAGGTGGGAAACACTTGGGTTGGCTTGGAGTTAATCTCATGGGGGTTGGGGGTGTGTGTGGGCAGTGATGGACTTGAGGTGATGCAATTGTGCATCCCAGACTGGGCATGTATCCAGGTGATACAGTGCAGAGAGTGCCTTCAGTCTCTCCTGTTCATGCTGTCATGCATTCTGAAACTAAACAGAAGAAATGAGCAGGATTTCAGGCTGGCAGGCTCTTCGTTAAGCTTCTGTCAGGATGATCATGTATGAGGATATAATAGAATAACAGCCCTGGCTGATTTAAGACCTTGTGTGCTCGTCTGTTGATCTAGTAAAACAGGAGAGAATTCTGCCATGCCCTGACAGTCTTGTTTGGTGACATCAAACCTTTGTGACAGCAGTAATTAACAGTTCACTGAATCCAGAGTACAAACTGGAGGGTCCTGGGCTACTCCTGCCAGTGTTGAGGGTGCTCTCACAGAGCCAGGAGCTGAAGCCCTGCTAACAGAGGATGAGTGCCCCATGCATGGGAGACACCCAGCTGCTGGTTGTTCGAGTTGTCCTTATATTTGTTTCTTTAATCATCAGACTGAAAGATTGGTTGTTTCAGTAATCATCACCTGAGCCAGCCACACTTAAAACTGCTTTTATTCACTAGTTTTCAGACCTTGCTTCTTACTTATATGAAATAGGTGAGGAAAGAAAGGGGAAAAAAAAAGTATTTTTACAACGTAGTACCTATACAGCATTTGAACACAACAAAAAAGTGTTTGTATTGTGTATGTCTTTTTTTTCTCTATAAATAAAATGGTACCTATCACACTGAGGCCACTTCAGGAGATCATTTGGTTTATTTACCTGTTGCAGGTGTGTATTCTAGTGTGGAGGGGATCTTGTATTTGAACCATTCCTATGTTCATGAGGCAATGACAAAATACAAGGGGTGGAATGAAAAAAAAATAAAAATTTCCTTCACAGTGATGCTTTTGTGTAGTTGCATTGGAAGGAGGAATGGCTTTTTATTCCAGGTTTCCCAGCCTGCTATCAGTGTAGATGTTTCTATCAATTCATAACCTTGGGAGAAAAGTGAAACTTGATCTACTGAAAATTGATGGCAAAACTCCTAAAGAGGCCAAACTTTGAGTTAAAAGATCTCATCCAGCGGATCAGAAATGAGCTGTATTTGTGAGTACTTTTTTATCTGTCTTTTCATCATTCCACACATTCTATTGCATTAGAAAATACTGAAGGTCTTATTCCAAAAATATTTCCCCTTTTTTTTCCCCCAGTAGTGACATAATAAATACAGCCAAACCAAAGAGAGTTGGAAAATTTACAGTGCACTGAAATTGATGTGTATTTTTGGTGCCTGGAAAATCCAGGAAGGAGTGTTCCTTTCTTTTCAACCTTAAATCACATCTGAACAGTATTCTGAGTGTTGTCCAGCACAGGGCTAAAAGCAAAACATTACATCCAAGTTTTAGAGGAGCAGTAAAAAACGGCAGCGTCCCCACAGTCAGATTGCCTGGCTGCACAGCAAATTAGCAACCTCTGTAGCTATCAAATTCATGCCTTAGTATAAATCTTTTCTCTTCTCCCTGTAAATTTGGGCTCAGACCATTTCAGACAAGCATCTGGGGATTAGTAGGAGGAAGTGAATATTATTCAATTAATATTCTGAGGACAGAAGATGAACGTACAAGCTGGCATGGGGAATTGACATCGGGAGCCCGAGTAACAAAGACATCTCTATAACCAGGAGAGGACAGTTTCATCTGTTCAAGTCAGACTTGGCTTTTGCCTTGCATATATTTTACTTATGAAATAGTGGTTGAAGGAGTTGTATTTACATAGCAGTATAGTTAGTGTCATATTTTGTGAACTGATCCTGGCTGACAATAGATAGATGAAAGATCTGGAGAGCAGATGCATATTGGTAGCTTTCAGTTCACTTTGATACATTAAACATTTATAAAAAGCTCAACTGAAGGAGAAATGTTTAGTTGAACCAGTAAGGGGAAGCTGAAATCACTGGTACTTCTCCAAAAGTGTAACATCTTACCTAATGTAAATTGAAAGAAGGTTTCTGTGGGGAAGGTGAAATATGCAGTATTAGGCACTGGTTTCTTTCTGTAAGAGACTGTTGTGCCAGTGACATCTCTCCATAAAGTAATAGCCCAAAGTCACAATTCTGAGCACAGGAGAGGATTTTTTGTTCTTTTTTTTCCATAACTTTGGACCTAAAAAAGCATATCCATGCACCTTCTTATTCTTAAATGCCATGTATTTACAGCCTGGAAACAAATCCTTTCACACTGCATTTTCTAGGCAGGAGCACACTGTCACTATGGGAGTAAGCCCTGGATCTGTAGGCTTTTCTCACCCCTTCTACAACACTCTCATTTGTGCATAATTTTCTGCTAATCTGAATCTTCATCTGAAGAACATGGGCACTCTGCTCAAGCTCCCTGCCTGATGCTCAGTCAAGAATCTGCAGAGATGCTTGTGTGTCGTCCCTGTCCCTGCACAGTTTCTAGCTCAGGTAGGGCTTGGACTCTGGCAGGAACTCAGGGGGTCTGGGGTAACACTAAAAACGAATGCCATGTGCATATATGGCTGCGTGGTTGTGTGTATTTGGTAGGAAATGTCACACCACAGACAGCTCTGCACTGACAGAGCGATGGAGGAGCACAGCTCACACAGCAAACACAGCTCCCAAACAGCCTACTGGGGCTCAGTTACTCTGTGCAGGGTGGCTCACTGTAGGGATAGGAATGATCCTGCTGCTTTCTCTGCAACTGCTTTTGTCTTCTTTATTTCATGCAAACCTGGGTTAATAACTGTTGCTGAATTTGCAGCTGTGTGAAGGGGTGTCTCCTTGCCAAGACCTACTTCTCTGTTCTTTCCATTCCTTCCTGCCATTTCCTCCATCCCTGAAGTCTCCTTCTCATCCTTAGTCCTTCTCAGACTTCAGCTCTACTCAGTCTCCCTCATCCATTCCTACTTTTTCTCTTACAAAAACGAGTATATTTT